GAGAGAGAGAGAGAGAGAGAGAGAGAGAGAGAGAGAGAGAGAGAGAGAGAGAGAGAGAGAGAGAGAGAGAGAGAGGCTCGAATTCCGCTAGCCACGGGACCGCGGCTACCTTCTTCCCGTGAACACAACGCCCCGGCATCATGAATGTATTTGGACCGGAACATGGTTTGTAAACGTTCATGAGGATGGGGCGTTCCACTCCCGGGAAGAATGGTAGTGTAGCTGGGAGTCCTTTTCGTAGTTTTCTCCTCCTAAGTACATTTGATAGGCAACACAGAAACCATAGAAAGAAACTGGATATGATATGGCATTCTAAATGACCCATCAAAGGGGGGTCGGATATGTCACCTCTCTTCTTATCTCTGCAGCTCGCTATCATATATATATACAACCTGTCATCCACGTGGCTGGCCTTGTACGTAAGAGGTGATGAACAGGTGGGGCTTTCCTTCCTTCCTTCTTTTCCTTTCCTTGTTTTGCTTTTTTCCGCCTTATTTACAGTGTGACAATATATATTAATATATATAGATATATCGTCGAACAGAACTGGCCGGTAAACCGTAGGCAGAGAGGGAGAAGAGGACAACAAACGACGGAGGGGCTGTGACAAACTGTTTCGTCTGAGTTTCACCGAGTCATCAGGATGCTGAACCCTCTACAGTCTGCAGAGTCTGCTAACTGATCACACTGTAAGCGATAATCCACCTTAACCCCGGTTGTGGTTAAGCATCAACGACTGCTCAACAACTGATATATATTCTTTTGAGCGCGGGGCGGTGCTTGTATGTGGGAATCGTCATCCGGGATGGGTGATTTTTGGTACTTTTTTTGATTTCTTTGCAGACAAGAATGTGTTGACATCCTGGTTGGTCTTGTCACGTCGTTTGGCCTGTGGGCAAGGGCGGTGCTTGCATGTGGGACTTGTCATCTAGGATTTGTTTATGTTTGTTTTCCCCTGATTTGTTATATTTGGCTGGTCCCTTCCTCTTTCTTTGCCTCTTTGCCTTTTGGCTGTGTGCAAGTGGGTAGATATGACACATGGGGGTGGGGGCAGCCTCCGCTCAACCTACATCCACGTGGGCGGCCTTGTACGCAAGAGGTTCTGAACAAGGGGAGTTGTAAGGAAGAAGATTAAAAATGAATTAAGTTTTTCTTGTTTCTGTTTTTCGCTTTGGCGCTCTGATATCGTGTGACCAGTACATTGTGTACGTAAGAGGTGATGAACAGGTGGAGCTTTTCTTTCTTAGTTCTTTCCTTTTTTGTTTTGTCTTTTTTCGCCTTTGCCCTCCGATACACGGTGTGACGATATATATATCTATATATACTACACCTACGTGGGCGGCCTTGTACGCACGAGGTTTTGAACAGGGGGAGTTGTAAGTAAGAAGACAAAAAATGAATTGATATCTTTCTTGTTTCCTTTTGTTGTTGTTTTTTTCGCTTTGGCGCTCTGATAACTTTGTGACGATATATATCATCCACGTGGCCGGCTTTGTACGGAAGAGGTGATGAACAGGCGGAGCTTTCCTTCTTTCCTTTTTTGTCTTTTGTCTTTTTTCGCCTTTGCGCTCCGATACACGGTGTGACGATATACATAGATCGTTTAGGACGGCCTCTCTCTTTTTCTTTTTCTTTTTTTTTTTTTTTTTTTTTTTGCCTCTCTCTTTTCGTGCACTAGAGAACTCAACAGGATGGTTCAGAACTTTAGACTGCTTCTACCTTCGTCGTCGGGACAGAACGAACCCTGATTATGAATGTATACAAGGTATCTTTCCGGTCCGGTGCAGTCATGATGAGCGTGGGTTGTGTTCGGGGGAAGACGGTAGCTTCGTGTACGTGACCCTGTTCATGCCGGGATGTCGCCCGACCACGATTGGGATCGGAGTAATGGTCCGGTCCCGACCGTCCCGCCATAATGGAGATATGTTGGAGTGATATCCCGACCACAAGTGGGATTCGACTCAGTCCAGCAGCTTTCTTTTTTTTTTTTTTTTTTTTTCCTAGGAACTTTTTTTTTTTTGTTTTTTCACTATTCTCAATCCTGCCGACTTCTCCTAGACATCCTTGAGGGAAATCCTACTTGAATCCCAGACCATGTACCGCAGTTCACTACAACATTCTAAATGTATCTGGGGCTGCGCTTCTGATCCAGATACATTGGGCCTGAACCTTTTTTTTTTTTTTGATGTTTGGTACTCTCTTCTATCTTGGTTGGGCCCGGGGACAGCTGAAAAAGTACAGATGCCGTAGTACCAAAGAGAATGCACTTTTTTTTTTTTTTTTTTTTTTGAGAACACTTTTTTCTCCTGCCTGCTGCCGAAAAAGGAACTGCACGTACTGAACAAAGGAAGTTCCAAAAAAAATAATAAAAAAAATGAAAATGGAACTGCATGTGCTGAATTCTCTGCCCTCCTCTTCTGTGACAATTCATTCGCAGAAGCTACGTTTTTTTTTTTTTTTTTGTTCCTCACTGTTGGCTTGAATAATATGCAACTTGAGCTTTGTCCACATTACGGTACGTGGTTATGGGTCTCGTTGAATGACTACTGGGCGAATGTGATGAAATGGAAAGTGTGTCTTGGCTGCTTCTATGGCACAAAGTGCCCATGCACTCACTTTTTTTTTTTTTTTTTTTTTTTTTTTT